TGCCATTTTTCCAACTTGTCCTTTAAGTCCAGGAAATATTTCTGTGAGATAAAAGGTCCTGCGTCTTTTAGCTTTGAACAACAATAGCTTTAATGTCATCATTGCTAAATCACTTCGTTCATTACTACAAGATGATGATGGCAATCCATCCCAGAAAAGTGTATGTAAATAATCAAGTATTGTCCCATCTGTATTTTTTTTATCCTTTGCAACCATCTGGAGTATGACAAAAGGAATTATGATTTGACCTCTTTTATCAATAATTATAGAACCATCCTTTTCCAAATCACCAAAAGTTGTATTTCCAATACTCATGTCTTCTTGAACTTGAGAATCATTTACAATATAAGCCAAGATGACTAAAAAGTCATCAGCACTAAGTTTGCTTAGAGAAGTAATATATCGAGTAAAATTTTGGAGAATAATGGATTGTACCAACTGCAATAATTTCTTGAGAATAATATTGTCATTCATGTGATTTTCTATCATTTTCTTGAATAACTTAACCTTAAAGGCTTCATCACTTCCATAAATGCCCATGTTATAAACAAAAAGAGAGAAGAGGCGAAATGAACCAAGATCTTCCAGTGCATATTTGCATTGATCAGAAATGTAAAATTGGGTTGTGGAAACTTTATTGGCTAAATACTGAAGAATTTCAATGAAATTATTAATTGATGGATTTGATAAGTTAATGGGTAACATACTAGGTCCACTGCTTCCAAATGACATATATAAATCATCTCTATGTGTTCCATCATAACAAGTAAAGAGAAAATGAGTTCCTTGTGACTTGTTGAAATTATAAATGCTGTTTGTGATTGCTTCTAAAAGCCTGCCTTCATCATTTTGGAAAAAAATATTTGTTTCAGTAATGTGAAACATTGTGAGTAATTGGTTGTGATCTGATTTCTCATGAAGGACATGATCAAGTACAGTTTTGAGATTGATATCCTTCAAGTGTAAGCCATATGATCCAAGATAATATTCTAAATCATTTAAGAACAGATGATATTCCCTTCCATTAATTGATTGATGTAGGATCCTTAATGCTATGACTGACTCTGTATAATACTGATTAATCAACATCCTTTCTGTATGGTCTAATGCTGAACTTAAAACATCCCAAGCAAACACCCTTCCACTAAAAATCTCTTGTAATTGCTTGTTCTGCTTTATCACTGTCAAAAAACCACATTGTATAAATGTTGTTTTCCCTATTCCTGGTGCTCCAGCAACCACTAGAGTTTGGTATAATATTTTGAATGATTCAAGAGCATCTGTATGATGAAAATTAGGATGATGATTATGTAATCGGTTCCAAATCTTGATATTATCAATAATACATTTCTCTAACATTTTCATTTCCTTTTCTCTGCCAACAAAAGGAAAACAGTTGCTAATAGCTGTAAATAAAATATCATCTGAAAGTTCAAATGGGCCAAGTGCAAAGCTATTGAGATGGCAATCATTTGATGGTTTATACTTGGAAAGTACTTCAGCAACATCATACTTCACTTTTTTGTTATCTGCTTTTAGGTATAAATGTAAAATGAACAGTAACAGTAATAGATGCATGTACAAGAGAATGGAAAAAACCACAAGTTAGTCAATAAATAAAACAAAATGGACGAAAAATAATTTTTTTGTATATTTTTTTTTTTAAGCAATTTGTTCATTACCTTTTTCTTTGTCATATTCTAACAACATATCCTGCAACATCTCTACTTGTTTCAACCTATCTTCCACCTTCTTCATCAACTCTTCCTTTTCTGTTTTTAAGTAACTAAACAACTCCACATCATGCTTTTTTGCCTCTTCTCTCAACAACTGATCCAGCCTCCCTCCCCAATTCTCTTTCCACTTCTTCAATTTTTCTTTCGCCCCTTCATGTTCTTTTTTTGCATCTTTTAATTCATTTTTAATTTCTTCAACTGTTGCCATTTTTTTATTGATTTACGTGTAGATCGTAATTGTTGCGATTAATTGTTTCTATAAATAATTTTGGACCAATGATAAATCAGTGGGCACATGACTTGAAATTTAAAAAATATAAGTTAAAAATCAAGTTAAAGCACTTGCATGGGAAGAAAATACTCGGACCCAAAGCCATTTATAAGTATTACCTATTCTTTGGACACTGACAAAAATTCAACCTTCACTATTACTACTATACTATTATTATTATTATTGATAATATCATTATTAATATTTGTATCTTTGTTTTCATTATCTTCGTAATCTTCGTTTTCTTCTTTTCTTTGTTTACCCATCCCTGAATCGCCTCTATCGTTTTCCTTCTTGGATTTGTTTTTCGTTGGTAGGAGTTTTTTAATGGCCATTTCATTAAATGAAAAATCAGGATATAACTCAGTCCGTTTTATCAAATAACTGTTTGAAATTTGTCCATAGATTTTCGATTTCTTTTGAGTATTTTTTATCATTAGTAAGTTGATTTGTTTTATTTTTAAGTTGTTTCCTTCTTGGTTCTATTTTATCAATTATTTGATCAATTTTTTGATTTATAATAGAGAACTGGTTTTGATAAATTTTATAGTGAAGCAAGAAACCAAGAAAAAGTCCAATTAACAACCCACAAAAAAAGTTCACAGTTGAAAGTAAACATTTTTTTAAACGTTATTATGGATGAAAATATTGTTTAATGATAATTAATAGGAGTTGTTGCTTGAATTTTTTTTTACCTAAAAATAAGTGAACTGGTGATGCTTTTATAATGTTTCAACATAAGGGCAGGTTTATTACAAAAACAAAGATTCATTTAAAATGCATATAGCTCATAAACTTTCTATGATGCAATATGGCAATCATTAATATTACATTTACATAGATGAGTCAACCTTTGTATATTTTCTTTCTTTAATTAAAGGGCCAAGTATAAGTAATTAACATGAATTCCTGGAACAATAAAGCTTCGATTTTCTTTTCAAGATATGGGTTCATTATTTTTTGTATAATGTGTTACATTGGTCAATATTATCTAACAAATGTTAAAATTTTTTATTTTATTTTGACTATTAGCAAATCAATATAAGTTTAAACCATAAGTATTTGGTAATACTTACTACTAAGTTCAAATGTCTTAGAGTATTTTTATTTTTTATTTTTTTTCAATTATTCTGCTCTAAATAAAGTAACACTAAATTAAGAACATGCTAATACTTGCTTTTGAGCTTTATTGAATTATCAAAAATAAATTAAGTATTAGCATCATCAATAGGGCAATGGTAATAAGAAAGATTTGGTATATATTCTTGAATAAGTGATAAATGAATCGATTTATTAGTTAGGGTTATAATTAAAAAAAATATTATCACAATTACACTAAATTTTAAACCCTGTAATGTGTGATATAATGTTCACTTTGTTTGGTTTTGTTGCAGCATGCCCCATAGTTTCTTTTCCTCTTCCAATAATATAAGGATAATAATAAAAACCTTATTTGAACTTTATTTTCATCCCTTTTTTTTTATTTTTAAGCGACTTTCATCATATGATCATTAATTGATTATTAAAATAAAATATCTCCATTTATTATTATTATCATTATTACCAAAAAAGATGTCTTCAAGTGACACTACTGCCTTTTCACTTTCTGACAATGACAGCAATAATAAAATAATTATCAATAACAATAATGGCGGTGGCAGCAATTCAAATAATGACAATGTAAAGCCATGTTGTGCTTGTCCTGACACAAAAAAAGCTAGGGATGAATGTATATTTAAATATGGAGATGAAACAAAATGTCAAAATTTAATTGAGGCTCATAG